AAATAATATCTCTGAATAATGCGGGTTAGACAAGAAAATGATACTAGCAGTAGTTTCATTTTACTTTTACAAGGTTCTTAAAACAATTGTTGTGTCGCCCACCGGGCGTTATTTCCAAATTCAATTTCTTGTTCTAGCTTTCTGTCATGTTTCGTAAAAAAGGAGTCTTGATTATCCCGGCCTGTCAATCAGACGGAGAAGGTCGGTAGACTGGTTAAGTGAGACTAATTTCAAAACAAGGGCACGTAACCTATTTTTTGCTCAAAAGTCTCTGGATGTCATTGACGACACTCCGAACCATTTTTCAGTGTATTATTTATAGATGGTTAAATGGTCATATCTTATTAAGTACAACATGACCGTTTATTTAGTGACTATAATTGTGCGAAACTGATTTAAGGCTTAGTATATATATAAGTATTGTGGTGTAATTGTCGAGATATTTGGAGATATTTATTTATGGTGGGGCAGCCTACCTTTGAATAACAATATAGGCGATTGAGTACCTGAATAATCCGCCGATGTATCCCAATAAAAACTGAAGTTTTTGGTAACTTTCGACACAAATTTCCATACTGTTGCAAGTTAGCTGACAAAGATTTTATTTCGTATGTTGTTAGAACTGGTCAAGCTGCAAATAAATTTATATTAATTTTTATTGCAAACCCTGCTCCAGTAGAGTTATCGCGATCTGAAGATATGGTACATTTCAGGTATCTCCAGACACGTATCTTGTGTAGTCTCCTGACACCTATGGAAAATGAACTTGAACCGGGTTACCATGATAATGTGATCGGGTAAAACCCTGACTATCACAAACAACCAAAACCTAGTTCGCCAGGGTCATGTAACAGCGGTAGTAGTGCAACAAAAATAGCTAAGATTTCGGCTAAAAATGGCAAAAATCGGGCAAAAAACGTAATCGGCCAGTATCTCGGAAACGGTTGATTTCTGAAATCGGCAATTTTGGCTTGGGAGTAGGCTCGGTGGGTCTACCAAACCCTATGAATATGAACTTAAACGGCCGACCGCCACCTTCGAACATCTGCATGATATTGCATGGTTTTCTCGTGGAATGACTCTTAATGTATTTGTGAGATACAAATGATAAACGCTTTTCAATTTCAAGTGACAAGTCGTCAGTGAATGTGCCAACAATACTGTTCCCATAGATACATTACGCAGAAATCAGTGGGCTGTGAACTTTTTTAACGGTTGGTCAGTGCTACAGAATAATAAACACGACAGTGAGCGAAAAATCCTGTGTGCGCTAGAAGATATGAGGATATAAGATCTTATTTTTTGGGTGTATAGATTCGTCTCGCAAGTAAACAAAATAAAATGATGAATATTACCTACTGAATAGTTTCACATTTACGGATTAGGAATAAAACTGATATTATGGATATACTACACAATCCAGAATTTGAGTTTCAGACAAGTTCTTGATGTTTCACACTATGGGGACAGATGTGACTATCCTGGTCACAGACTCCAAATAAGAGATAGGCTGTGACTTTCTTTGACTTCACGTTGTGATAACTATTTCCAATGATCAATTAAGTCTGAAACACTGTTTATGTTGTTGCTATGTTTATATATCGAATACAGCAAACTACAAAGGGCATATACAGGAATAACAATACCACAATTCGTTTCTACATTTTTATGACAAGCTGGATACATAACTCACAAGCATATATTACTATTAACATCATTTTCTCTACCTCTCGCCATTTCGTAAGACAAGTTTAACGACGGATGCCCCACAGCATCATATGGCTCTCCTATGAGTTAATGGGGTGGTCTAATCCAAGTGGTGTCTGAATGATGTCCGACTGATATCTATTTCCCAGCCAAGGCAGCTGTGGGTATCATGTTCCCCTACAGTCTGAACATGATGTCTGTATCCCTGGCCTCTTAGGCGAGGACGCTGTGGGTATGACGTTCCCCTGAACTCTGAATGATGTCTGAAGGGAAATTTAACCTCGCTCTTTCTTACAAAGTATAGATGTGTCAGCTATTAAGGCGGGACAATTACCATTTTTGGGTAAGTGTTTAGTATAGGCACCGTTTTACGTCAACACAATTCTAGTTAATTGTACTAATCCGTGCACGTGATGCCTGGACGATAGTACCCTACTTTCAACAATGGGTACTGACATAACTGTCGGCAAGTAAGTCTAAACAAGCCAACAGTGAGGCTGATGTCCCCCGCCGAAATAGGAAAATAATTAGAGGACACATATAAATTTATCACAAATTATCTTTTACAAAGTATTGAACAATCAAACAGTATATCTTTACTTATAGTCTAAGCATACAATGTTTTTGATGGAATAATTATAGCATATTAAGGGGAAAACATGCTCTATGCCTACAGATCTAGAGTTTGGTTGTATCAACGGGTCTATTTTCCATCTTGCTGCAAGTTGTGCAAAGTTCACTGTTTTCTTTCTGTCATTAAATGTCAATTCATTATTGCATACTACATATTTAATTAATTTATAATAGTTTCTTTTTCAATTTGTTTTTTCCATTTATTTGTTTATTTACCTTGCCTATATTCATTGTATTGGATTGTATTGGAATTGCTCAATTGATGCTTTTATCAATACCTGGTTATAATATTATGACATGTAATGTGGCAAGTTGAGTCGGGACATGTAGGCTATAATGTAACCTAAATGTATACATAAGTGGATTTCGTTTCATTTTTTTCGAAAATATTGTACAGATAAAAGAGGAGGAATTACAGGGGTAATACATTGGAAAGCTTCTTCAAGAACTAAAGCATAAACTATATAAACAAGCTTATAAAAAGGAAAAGTTTGTATAAAGACGTTTCGTTTGCACAACTGGGTGATGATAAATCACGTTTTGTCTTTCTAGCAGACGACACCGTTTTACGGCTCTGCTTACCCTAAGCGGAAAATGCTCATCTTCGAACTCCATCAAGGCATTGACCTAATCAACACATACACCAAGTTTGAACATTCTAGCTCAATTAGGAAGAGAGTTATCGTGCCCCAAAGTATCAACCAATCAAATTGCTTATCTCTGCTTACCCTAAGCGGAAAATGCTCATCTTCGAACTAGGCGGGGGACAATCAAAGTAGGAGAGTTATTGTTTTCCAAAGTCTCGACCAATCAAATTGCGTATCGCTCTGCTTACCCTGAGCAGAAAATGCTCATTATCAAACTTAGTCAAGGTATTACTGTAATGAAACTATACACCAAGTTTCATCAATCTCACTTAATTAGAACTAAAGTTATCGTGTCCCAAAGCATCAACCAATCAAATTGCTTATCTCTGCTTACCCTAAGCGGAAAATGCTCATCTTCGAACTCCATCAAGGCATTGACCTAATCAACACATACACCAAGTTTGAACATTCTAGCTCAATTAGGAAGAGAGTTATCGTGCCCCAAAGTATCAACCAATCAAATTGCTTATCTCTGCTTACCCTAAGCGGAAAATGCTCATCTTCGAACTCCATCAAGGCATTGACCTAATAAACACATACACCAAGTTTGAACATTCTAGCTCAATTAAAAGTTATCGTGTCCCAAAGCATCAACCAATCAAATTGCTTATCTCTGCTTACCCTAAGCGGAAAATGCTCATCTTCGAACTCCATCAAGGCATTGACCTAATCAACACATACACCAAGTTTGAACATTCTAGCCCAATTAGGAAGAGAGTTATCGTGTCCCAAAGCATCAACCAATCAAATTGCTTATCTCTGCTTACCCTAAGCGGAAAATGCTCATCTTCGAACTCCATCAAGGCATTGACCTAATAAACACATACACCAAGTTTGAACATTCTAGCTCAATTAGGAAGAGAGTTATTGTGTCCCAAAAAGTGTGACAGACAGACAGACGGACAGACAGACGGACGAACCCATTTTAATAGTCCCCTGCTTTCTTCGAAAGGCGGGGGACAAATAGTAGTAGAATAATGCAAGCTACTTCATTACCCTAGTTTTCGTCACACATCATGTAGGTAAAGAATTTCTGTATTAAACAGAACACCTTTCTTAGAACTAAAATAAACCCTAGAGTATTACAACATGCCCCTTTGCAATTCGTTAAATAAGCAATTTTGCTTAATTAACGCCTATTATGTCACATGCAATAAATACAATACAATATCAATACTTTCAATATTGTTACTAAAATCTTCTAGTGTCCTTTAAATATCTCAAGTCCTACTTCTAAAATATCATTACACAGATAATCATGCTACAATAATATAAGTTCACTGATTCACTGTCAATAACTTCACTGTTTTCTAACACCAAATGGATTTTATTGTTCTAATCAGAATTGTTCTGTTTCATGCACTGTAAATTTGATGATCCATTAATATAAGTTAACACTTCCGCAAACACCGCTCCACAACCATATCCTTTTGCATACTGGAATTCCCCCAACTGGTTCGTCTTTACTAGGCGTTAAGATAAAATGTACATTACTTCCTGAAGCCACCAGTGTACTTGCTTAATCAGCCCACTATTAATTTAATTTGTTTACCCTTAATTCATAACATTTATTTTAATCTTTATCGGATACTATTACTGTATATCGTAATCATATTCATACCCTTATGCTTATGTAAAACTAAACTTTTTTTTGTGAATACGCATGTATGAATTCGTAATTCTATTTAATTTTAAGTGAATATTAACATTATACAACTTAATGTGTCGCTTTAATATAAACTAATAGTATTAATTATTACGTCTCTCCTACAGTCATTTATAACTTTGAACCTGTTACATTACTAACGTTTTACCTATTAGTATTACCTGTTAACAGTGAACAGTTTTATCTCATTAACAAATCATCTTTAATTAATTACCCTAACCTGACCTGGTTATTGTTTAAGACATTCCACCTGTGCTATGAACCCACCATTCACCATTTTGTATATACAATGGAACTATAGTATACCTTTTCAACGTGTAATATCTAAGACCAGAGAAAGCACTCACGTCTATCGGCTTGCTCCGTAAATCAACTTTTGACAGGCATGCTACTTTTCTAATTTCCATATAGATACTTCCTTTTAAACCTTTTCGTGATTTCATTTCTATCTGAATTCAAACGGAACAGCATCATATTTCAAGACCTGATTGTATTATACTCCTGGTTGTAATAACAAATCAACCACAACCCGTAAGTTATTATATTCCTTACATTTAACACATATAACAAATAACAATTTACAAATAAGTTCATTATTATGTAACATAATAAGAACCCAACTACATTTTTTGGCACCAACCACCACCGCCCCCCCCCCCCAGTCAAAAATTTCCCCGTACGCCTATGTCAATGGACATAAGTAGTTATGTCACTTGGTGTTATGTCAACAACATAGAATCGGTTGGTGTTCGTCCATTTGTTACTGTTTGGGGTAAGGCAGTTTTCTTTCATTTTTAGAGCAAAAGTACACTGTGGTTTACTTATTTCGTCTAATTAGTAAAAAGATAGGTTGCCAGGCAACGAAACATACGCCCACAGCAGCTAAATCGTCCGAGCGGTCGACAAGAGTTGTCGCATATTTATTCCTTTGTAGGTAATTGGGGGCCTTTACAAGACACTTCCATACAGATCAGATTATAATTTTTGAGGTTTGAGGATTCACAAGGTTCTACAAACTGAAACAAGGGTCTCAACTCTGGAAGTAATCTACAGAAATTGTTAAAATTTGACAGGCTTTTTCGTTTTACTAATTTAAATAAGGCGTATAAATTTCATACAGATCAGATGATCACTTTTGTCATTCAGATATTCACAAGGTTCACAACTGCCATAACTCTAGAAATTATTGATGGAAATTGCTGAAATTCAACAGACCTCTGTTTCACAAATTGAAACGATGAATATAAATTTCATACATATCGGATGATAACTTTTATCAATCGAGCATTAACAAGGTTGAACAAAGTGAAACAAGGGCAATAACTCTAGAAGTAATAAACGGAAATTGCTGAAATTCAATAGGATTCTTCTCTTTACTAATTTAAATGATGCATGTAAATTTCATACAGATCGGCAGATAACTTTTGATGTTAGAGTGTTCACAAGGTTCAATAAAGTGAAACAAGGGCCATAACTCTAGACGTAATAACAGAAATTTTTTAAATTAAAGTAGCTAAGTCTCTAACTCAATATCATCCAAAGTCATACACGTTGAAAATACGAATTATTTGTCAATTCAAATCAACATTGATGTTGTGATCTTACCAGGAAAAGACAGGCTTCTGATATCCAATATTTAAGACAAAATAAACATTTTACCATTGGTACACGAATCGTGTACCATAGTGCGTTTTAGCGTCATTTGCAACAAGTGACCAGAAAGAACGAGGCTAGACATATTCAACTGGAGAGTCTGCTCAATAGACTGGAATAACCAGACGCTAGAATTTGCTATAGGGTTGAGACACAGGCCGTATTTCGCTGGACATAACTGATTTGAAATTAGAATCAAAACGGAAACAATTGAATGTAAATCAGTTCATATACAATCAGATTATATTATTATATGCGTTGCGACCCATTTGGGTCAATTTCTAGGTCCCAAATGTTAGCGATTTAGCTCCTTTAAATAGACTTCTTCATCTCACTAATGTAAACAACATACCAGTATATCAATTTTAAAACAACTGGATGATAATTAACTTTAGACGTTAGAGCGTTCACAAGAAATTATGGACGATGGACGGATGGACCGAAAAAACAAAATTAATAAAAATTGAATATTAAAAAAAGTATAAGTCTGATACTAAAAAATTTAAACGGTTTGGGCAATTATTTATGCCATGTTTCAAAGCAATTGCTCAAAAAATAAAATTTGGTTGGTACATGCTACCTTCATCGGTACTATTTCAGTAACGTACCTCTACCAGTTCCTGTGATCGTAGAGACTTGAAATTCTCTGGGGGTGTTCACGGGGACTAGCCATGACCTCAAACGAAATTTCAGCCGTATCGGTCAATAACTTTTTATTTTACCGTAGTTTAGCTTCTATAAGAGATAAATTTATCCGATTTTGACGCCATTTTGTTTGTTGGCTATTTAGGCTCGAATGACGTCATATGTGGATTGTGGGTTAGGATAAGGGCTAGGACCTGTAGATTTCGCCATAGTCTCAAGATGTAGACAGGGCTAGCCCTAACCCTAACCCTGTCTTGTTATTCGAGTCTAAATAGCCAACAAACAATATGGAATAGAGGCCAGGTACTAGGACTCTCATGTTTTCGTTACTACTAATACTAATACTTGTTGTTGTTCTTAGCGTTTAACGTCCGCTTCCACCGAAGGTGATATCGCAGACAAGTTCATTTTAATGATCTTAGCGCACGTGCAGGGGTCTTTGCTGTGGGAGGAAACCGGAGTACCTGGAGTAAACCCACGAGGTTGAGAAGGCGCCCCTATCTCCAAGCCACATACGCTCACACCTGGGATTGAAACCACAGCCGCAAGCCATGCAGAGGTGACCGGCCAACTAGAGGTCGAAGCGTGACACTCTAGACCACTAGGCCATCCCAACCCCCCTACTAATACTACTAGGCCTAATACTATTATAATGTATTGTACATTTAAAATAAATTAGTTTTGTGGGAGGAATCGGATATTTTCGAAGTGAATTCCGATGATTGGTAATGAATTCAGGTGATTAGTCTACCGTTAGTTGGGCGACTTACAATATTGTCTAATTGCATACACACTGTGTCATTCTCTCGTCCAAATCGTAAAACTAATACGACGTCTTCGGTTGATCTTATAACTTCGTCTACTTCACTCTTATTACGAAGCGTTTTCAAGACATTGCAACTCATTCTCTTGCTTCTTTCGGTTAGTTTCCGGTAAGTATAAAGCAATCGAACTTCTTCGTCCGATGTAGTTTCTGGATCAATAACCTAGCGACGTTGGGTAAGAAAAAAAAACCCACAACAATTTATATGGAAAATAATCACTTGTTGAAACAGATATAGCACGACGTTTCGACAGGTATTCTCTTGTTGTTATCAAGCACAAAATATTTTATTTTATACATGTTGTGGAGAAACATATAACATATTTTTAACTAATACCATAGCCTAGTGCCCGTCTTATAATGGTCTTATCGGCGTTCGACACACGCACAACCAGGATGAGTTGGACGCCCGAATTTGACCATAGCTGTCAAACCGCCTCGATTTCGCAGGCGCACGTGTGTGTACAAAACTAAAAATAAGACTCGAAAAGCCTATCTTGAGTTTGAGAAAGAAAACGGGTTATAATTAGTAGTAATTTGTTTTGTCGCGATTATGGCCGTAACAGCAACAGACCCACCTTCAATTCTTCCTGGTGCAAATGAAGGGGAAACAACAATGGTTGTTAAGAAATTATCAGGTATATAAATTCCCGAAAAAAAAGGAGAAGAAATTAGGCCCTAGCCTAGTATAGTTACTTTATAACGAGAGTTAGAGACAGCACCAGGGGTCTCTAAGACTTCATTACTAAAGTAACTAGCCTTAGCCTAGTTCCTTTAGCAACGGTGACCTAAAGAGTAAACGCAAAGGGACTAGAAATGGTTCCACTACTGATGTCCTCAGTCTTACTCCAGCCACAGTAGTGGATCGTTCTAAGCACTACAGTTCCTTTGAGTAAGTTTTTTTTACTGTCTGTTCCAGGTGATACTCCGACTCTAAATTTGCTTGCCATTTCTTCATTTTTTAAAGGAGCTAAATCGCTAACATTTGGGACCTAGAAATTCACAAAAGTGGGTCGCAACGCATATAATACTGTAATATGAATGTATATAAACTGATTTACATTTAATGGTTTCCGTTTTTACTCCAATTTCAAATCAGTTATGTTCGGCGAAATAAGTCAGCAATCTCAATCGAGTGCAAATTTCTAGCGTCTAGTTATTCTAGTCTACATAACTCCATTTGATTTGGTGCAATGTGTCTAGCCTCGTCCCTCGAGTCTCTCAATACAACTGGGGCTGAAGCGCATTATGGTACACGATTCGTGTACCAATGTTAAAAAAATTATTTTATCTTAAATATCGGATATCAGAAGCTCATCTTTACCCGGTAAATTTACATCATAAATGTTGATTTAAATTGAGGCTGACCTTATAAATATCTTTGTTTCACCAAACCCGACCCACAATCGAGGAGAAGGGTCGGTAGGTCGTTTTTTTTTTCAGATTTTTTTTAAGAGCTAATTTGACAGCTTGATAATTTTCTGGGTGCAAACATTCGTCTTCTTTTATTGGCAAACAAATCAATGACATCAGGATTTTTCGTGATGCACGACTCGCACACGAATTGCCACAAACTGACGTTTGAAACTCCCTCAACACGTTTTTTAACGATCGTGCGGGTTGGGCCTTCATTTTTCTCGAAAACGGATATTGAAAATATCTGTTTTCGAGAAAAATAGAGGCAGAATCATTTCGTGGGAATGGACGTGCTTTCGTCTGCAACCATTTTGTTGAGAAGCGACACCTATGATGCTTTCGTCTTGATCAACCAGTTTCAATAATGAATCAAACCATAGCCATAGTAAAGGGAAATAACTCTAGTGATATATTTCAGGTTGACACACAAAATAAAATAAAAAGATCGCGGAAAAGTGCAATAAAATAATTTAAGTCGGGGGTAGTTTTAGTTAGTCGGTCGCGTTAGGCGAAACAAAGATATTTTTAAGGTCAGCCTGACCAATAACTCGTGTTTTCAATGTCGAAGATTTTGGAGGATTTTGAGTTACGGACTTAGGTCCTTTAATTAAACTGGCTAAAACTTTGTGACATACCTGGAATTTTCATCCCTTTGGTTTCTTCCCTTAGAATAAATGACTAGACATCCCATAAAATCCAGTATTCTCTTGAAAATTTCACTTATTTAGACATTGTCACTTTCTCAAAACATAAACATTAAGACTGCGCGTGCGCTAAATGGAATACTTGCATTTCGCATTAGGGTAGACAGGTACTTTACAAATTTGGTGCATTCGGTTAGAAATGTCTAGTGAAGGAGAATTCGCCCGTTTGTTTCGCGACAATAATACTTATTAGGGTTTCACACTTTGGAGCTTGTGTGAAACAATATTATTTTTGTTCGGATTGATATGGTTTTTTTCTGTTTGACCGTGCTTATTTCGCAAAAAAAAAAATGCTCATTGGATAATTTGGAGTGGATAAAAGCTATTTTGAAAAGACAACGCATGTCAGAACCATCATCCATAATTCATTTTAAATTTTTGATTTCCATATAAATATGAACCATTGTGTGAATATTCCTTAGATGTAACCAATTGGTCTCTATAAATGACGTCATTGTGGCAAAAAAAATTGTGTCTTTGCGAACATATATACATCAAAAGATAGTTTCTAACTTGAGTCATTGCCAAGAAATAGGCAATTATTAAAGCATAACCTTTTATGTTGTTTTTCCCAGAACCCATTTATTGATAGCTTAATAGACATGCTACCATTTGATAACTTATACAAACCGCAATTAAATCCAAAATTTCCAGTATTACCGGAAATGACGCGATTTTGAAAATAAGAAACTATATTTTTTATCCTTTTAAACAAATATTCGTTCTAAAGATTGTTATTCGCTACCCTTTACTTATACTATTTACTAACTTCCTATACTAATAGTATGCCGATATACGACCATGTTTATATCATAAAATAATTTTTAACTTTGTCCTTTGCCGAGAAATAGATGAATTGTATGAAAATATACGACCAGGCAGATATCACAAAATAATCTCTAACTTTATCCATTGTCGAGAGATGGCCGATTTATCAGTCGCCACATTGTTAGGTTGTCACACTTCAATATGTGTTGATAAATGGCTATTTCGAGTCCATTTTAACATACATGGGAATCTGTTTAACCGTATCATCAGTGAGGTAAGTGACGTCTGCTAAACGATGCAGGCGCCGGTGAAACTCGTCATTACATTTCTGGTTTTCGATTTGTTTCAGAGCTGTTTCTAAATGCAAAATAAATATATTATGTATGTTTACAACAGCACTATTTTTTGATTAACAGTGTTTTAATATTCTTCACTGTTCATTACATCATTGATATTCATAGTACATTGCTACCAAAATGTTCCTCAAAGAACACTTATTTTCAGCAGCAGATGGAGTGATGACCTTTCGGATAAAGTGTAAACATTTTTGCAAGATATCTTATAATTTTTTGGATTTACCATAGTTTCGCATACGGGTATTCCTTTCAAAATTGATCTTTAGATTTAGGCACAAAAGATTTGTTTCTGGTGTAGAAAAGAAAAAAACAAACAGCAAACGAATCTTAGGAAAATATAATCCCTTGAATAATGGACTATTGTTATGTACAATTTCAAGATAGAAAATACACGATATCAAGGAATGTGTCAATGCAAATCGCTATAACCCATCTATATTGTGGACCGAGTTTTTTGGGGGGTATGTCCTGCAGCCTCCTTCGAAAATTTCATCACATTTCAATAGCGGGTTACAATTTGCATGTAGCTTATATCCATGTCATAAAGTTACAACCCTCGGACGGAGGGCAATTAAATTGTCAAGTTAGTGGGGCAAACAACCGTGGTCTGGGATCCAGTAAATATCGCTTTCAAAACAGTTATATTCTACTGGACCTAAACAACCAACTACATATCCAATTAGGGCGAAACGACTTAAAGTCAACTCAGCACCCCTTGTCCACTTAGGTTCTTCCAGATAACTAGGCCAAACATGGCTATTTTTAGTACCAAGATGTCGACAAACCACGATATTTCAAAGGAGAAAAGTTGTATAGCTTGGTCTGAACTTAGTTCTCACAAGACAGTAAGCAATGGGGTGACTATTCCAGGTATTTCACAAAGTCTTAGCTAAGGCTGGGAATCGATATGAAATATCGATTATCGGCAAGAATTTGTCAGCAATTATCGATAATAATCGATTATCATTCTTCCGGAAAAACCAAACTTTACCGACCTGTTATTTGTGTTGATCGAGTTACAGTAGTGTTATTATCCTAGTCTAATACTGTGCCGATGTACGTAAAAAAATCAATTAATATAAAATAATTAGTTGCTAAATGTAGGATTAACTTGAGTATTATTCTACGTTTTGTTCTTGATTCATTTGAACCTTTTTTTTATTCCAATATCTCCGATAAATACAAAGACAATACATGGTTTCCCATTGCAAGTTACTGGCGATCACACAGTGTTACTAATAATAGAATAAAATATAATAGAAGGCGTCTATTGATTGGACAATAAAAAAATAATTACCGGCTTTCAAAGTAGAATTTTTATGATTGGTTAATTTTGACGAAAACCAAAGTAGAATTCTTCCAAGAAATTACGAGAGATATAGATATTTTCCCGGGAAGTCAAAAACGTGTTTTGTATGGGCTGTATCTGACATGATTTAGTAATAAAAGCTGAGTTGATCATTAATAATACAATTAGTTTTATCCTGAAAGCAGACAATTTCTCTACAAATCAATCAAGAGCAAAGAAGGGAGATAATTCTACTATATCACGTGCGATTGTCATTGTTCACAAAGTGCGTGACCTATTTTAGTTTCAACTAGTAATAACAAAAACAACGAAAATATTAAAATAATGTATTTAATCTTAAAGTTTAGTTTTTTTACAATAATATATATTTAAAATGTGCCAGTTTGTAAGCAGAGGGGGAAAATAGCTGTTGTGTTGACGTTGTGTATTCGTTCATTCGTCTGCATGCCAGACTACGGCAAGTTCAGTCATGTGAAAGTGACCGTAACTTGCCGTCAGAAGGTAAATATACCGATAATCGATATTTGAATTTCAATATCGATTATCGTATCGCTAAATAACTTCTACCGATTATCGATTATATCGATATTTTTGAACAGCCTTAGTCTTAGCCATTTTAATTAAAAATTGAAGAAATGGCAAGCAATTTTCGAGTCTTAGTATCACCTGGAACAGACAGTAGTCAAATGACTAGGCCTACAAAAATGTTACAGACCTATAGGCCTGGCTCCCTTAAAGGACAATATTGGTGTCAGTCATTATTACATATGTGATAGAACTGGTTAAATGCATTCCAAATATAATTTTAACACAGAGATCATTGCTACGGGAGACGTGTAACAAGCACGTGAAGAAACGTGAAGTGACGCCAAACATGACTAACACGAGTTGTCCTTCTATATAACTGGCTGAAGTAACGAGCGATAACAGACAAACGATTGACGTCACTTCCCGTTTCTTCACATGCTTATTACACATCTCCTGTAACAATGATCTCTGTGTTAAAATTATACAGTGGACTCTGTCACATTCGATCTCTGATCACTCCGGATTGCTGTGACATCCGGTATGATTTTCATGTCCCG